CAGCTCCGCGTCCGGCTCTGGGTCCTGACACTGCGACCCACCCGCGAGCGTGTGTCCCTGTGGGCACCCACACCCTGCTGGGCTGCACCTGTTGCTCACTGCTGCACAGGGAGACACGTCCCAGCAAGGAGAGTTAATCTGCCTGAGGGAGGGAAAGGTCTGCAGAGGGATCTGGACAGGCTGGATGGATGGGCTGAGGCCAGTTGTATGGGATGCAATAAAGCTGATTGCTGGGTCCTGCACTGGGGTCACAACAACCCCATGCAACACTACAGGCTTAGGGAATTGTGGCTGGAAAACTGCCCAGAGGGAAAGGACCTGGGGGTGTTGGTTGGCAGCAGCTGAATATGAGCAAGCAATGTGCTCAGGTGGCCAAGAAGGCCAAAAGCACCCTGGCTTGTATCAAAAATAGCATGGCCAGCTGGACAAGGGCAATGATTGACCCCCTGTACTTCTGGGGAGGCTGCACTTCAAATCCTGTGTTCTGTTCTGGGCCTGTCACTACAAGGACACTGAGGTGCTGGAGCAAGTCCAGAAGAGAACAAAGAAGCTGGTGATGGGTCTGGAGCACAAGTCCTGCGAGAGCCTGAAGGAACTGGCATTAATTAGTCTGGAGTAAAGGAAGCTGAGGGGAGACTTCATTGCTCTCTACAACTACCTGAAAGGAGGGTGCAGTGAGGGGGGGGTTGATCTCTTCTCCCAAGTAACAAGCAATAGAACAAATGGCCTGAAGTTGTGCCAGGGGAGGTTTAGATTGGAGATCAGGAGAGGTTTCTTCACAGAAAGGGTTGTCAGGAGCTGGATGAGGCTGCACAGGGCAGTAGTAGTCACCATTCCTGGCAGGATTTAAAAGATGCAGTGCTGAGGGACATGGTTTAGTGGTGGACTTGGCAGTGCTGGGTTAACAGTTGGACTTGATCTTAAAGTTATTTTCCAACCTAAATAACTCTACGATTCTACAATCAGCAGCACCTCTGCCCCTCACAAAGGAGAAAAAGGGGCAGTGTTTTGATGGTGCTGCTAATACTCCCTGGAGTCCCACACTCACCTACAGGTCTTCCTCGTGTTCCTCTTTAGACAAGCAGCACGTGCAGCTCTGAGCCTCATTACTAACACGACCCCCAACCGTGAGCTTGTTCTGCTTCACTTGTGTCCCATGTGAACAGCATTGCCCCAAGACTGTCCCCGTCAAAGTCTGCCCACACACCCCAAAGCTCTGCCCATCCTGAGGAGCTACCTGCTCCAATAGGCAGAGACACATACTAGCAGGGAATGAGACCCCTGCTGCAACCAAGTATAGCCTCACACCCAGTAAATAGCTGAGATGTTTTTCAAGTAGTTCTGCCTCCAAAGAGGAGCTCTTATCCCAGGTGGCTTCAGATACGGGACCTTTACCCTCCTGTGTCTCTGGAATGAAAGACAGCAAGCATCACCTGAGATCACAGAAACAAGCCACAGAAATTCCAGGCTGGCAAGGGGATGTTTCAGAAGCGTTTATTTCACTGCTGAGGTGGGGGGGTGCAGGAGGCAGCTGCTCCCTGAGCTGCCTGTTGCTGCAGAACATCCCTCCCCTCATTCATGACAATCCATGTACAGTTGCTCACCTTCCAGCATCTATGTTGCACAGGCCTACATCACCGGGACATTCACCTCTTAGGGACAGCACTTAAAAGATTAAAAATAATGATGATAACAATAATAAAGCAATCTACACAGTAACACTTTGGAGGCATCATGCAGTAACCAGATGATTTTAAGACTACATGGCAGATCAGATTTGCTACATTTAATGGTGGACAAGTGCTAACTGCTTCCCTGCCAGTCCAACATAATGCCAAGCTAGAGAGCATTCCCAGACAGGAGAACAAGCTCCCTGTTTCCAACTCAGTGGCAGGAAAATGCTTCCAGGTCACAGTTTATACATCCAGAGCTACACAAGATTATGTGCTTTTAAAAGGTGCTGGGAGTCTTGAAAATTCCTTCAGTGACACTGCCTGCTTCCTACCAAGTGGCAGACACTTGAGTGCAGAAGAGTGCCTGAGATGTGGGGTTTCTTTTTTGCCTTTTTGTTTTAAATGAAAAAAAAACAACCAACCAAAAAAAAAACAAAACAGAAAAAACCAAAACCAACGGACTGGTGAAATGTTATTTTTAGGACAGGTGGAGCAAAAAAATAACAAAAAAATCACATTACACTGGAAATATATATAACCTGGTGCATGAGAAATAAGAAGCCATATATCATTGTCCCACAATGAGTTGTTTTCTTCACCTAGTTTCAACTTCCCAAGTGAGGTAAGGAGATCACAGGAAAAAAAGGTGCTGTTTCCAAAGGATTCTACTGTTTTAGTTATCCTTTTGAATTCTGTATATAAACATTTTTTTAAGGAAACTACCTTTTCTTCACAACATTCAGAGTATTAGGGTTTTTTGGTTGTTTTGGGTGAGCAAAAGAGGGAAAAAGAAAACAAGCATCCCAGAGATGACATGCTGGCAGTTTTGACACATTTTGGAAGGAAAGCACAGTTGTAAAAAGGAAGGAAATAACATAAGGAATCTGCAGATAGAAGGAAAAAGTAAAGATTGCTCACATAGTTTGCACTGTGCCCACTCCACCAGCCTTGAATCACACACTCTGTTCACATGGAAACATACTGTCATACACAGCTGTAAGGAAAGTGGACACTTAGAAACCTGTAGTTTTATTTTGTAGGAATCAGGAATTACCCCTCCTAGTACTAGACAGAATGTATTTTAAGGCATAATTTAACATCCATTTCTTCCTAAAACAATTTGAAGTGTAACAAGCCAAGAAACCAGACACAGAAAGCTCAACAATAGCTATTCTGACAGAGGTGAAAGCTATTATATGTACAGTGCAGTATTTGCCTTCAAACAGGGGAGTTTTGTCTTAAAAAAAAAAAAAGATAACTGCAGACCCAGATTCTAAAAAAACCCAAACATTGCCAACACAAGGAATGTTCATTAGAGTCCAGTTCCCACTAGAGCTACTCAACAGGAGGACTTACAAGGTGATTATGCTAAACCACATGGATTGACTGTCCCCAGGGTGTGCCCCCGGGAGGGGGCAGGACCATGGGAAGCCAAACACTGCAGCACCCCAGTGCAAACTGCCTCAGAGGAAAAGCCTGTAGTCAACAAGCCTTTACATCTATTGTTAGGCTTCACTAAGAGCTGTAGTAGTCAGGTGTCACCTAACAACTTTCAGGACACTTCCCTAAAGGTGATGGTCCTGCGTGGATTCTAATGCACATCCCCCATGAACAGTGTCCTGCACACATACACCTGCCAGGCTTTCCCTCCTGGGTGACTGTGATCAGCTCACAGCCACCAGAATCTGACATAGACAATCAGCATGATAAAAAACACAGCTACAGCAGCCAGCTTGGCATAGGTGGAACGCATGTTCAGGTACTTGGCATCCTGACGGTATTTCTTGGACAAACTGGACAAGTTGTTGGCCTTGGAATCAAGAGCTGTTAGAAGGAAAGGGGAGAGAAGTTAGTCAAGATTAACCCAACCAGATGTTCCCCAAGTGTTATACTGACTGCTCAAGTTTCTCTGGAGCAGCTGGAAGCACAGCAGTTTCACATGGCAGCATGCCCTGTGCCCATCTGTAGTGCTTGTCCTGCTAGGATGAGAGCCACTGGTCTCACATAAAAGCACCACCAGTACCTGCCAGGTGCTTCAGGATGCACCTGATCCAACTGAAACACCAAGTCCCTTGTCTTTCTGAGGAGGCTCAGGGATCTGCAAGCCTTTCCCTGAAGTGTGCTCCACCCAGCCAGCTGACTGAGGGGACAAGGAGCCATACGCCACGGATCAGCCATTCCCCGTACCTGAAAGTGCCTCTCCTCGCTGTAAGACTTCCTCAATGTTGGCCACCATAATCCTCTGCACATCTTGCAGCTCTGTATTGATGGAGCCCAGGTTCCTTCTTGCCCGGCTATCAATGTAGAGCTTCTTGGTTTTCTGGATATAGGTGTCTGGAACAAGAGGGGGCCATCAGAGGGAATCTCGTCTAACTGAGCAGCCTGGCTGCCAAAGGAGTGGGAGCACTGCTGAGACAGCCAGTAGACTGGATGCAAATATTCACTGGAGCAAGGCCAGAAGGCTTAAAGCAGGAAATCTAAATCAAAGAACATTTATAATTTCCCTACCAGTTCTCGATTTTCTTGCTTAAAACACCCGCTGCTCTAATGCCAAGAAGTTGAACTGACAATTCCACAGTCCAAGTTGGAGAGGATCCTGTGGCTCCTGCTCCCCCTCAGCAAGAAGCCTCCTAACTAGCCATAAGGAAAGGGACCTTACCAAATTCAATGAAGGAATAGGGTCTGGAGACTGTTGGCACCTTCTTGCCATGCTGCTCATCGAACTCCGAATGCAAGTCTTCCAGATAGGCAAAGGCCAGTTTCTTGGGAAATGCAGCTTCACACAGGACCAGGTAACACACTCCTTTCTCAATGATGTAGCTAACAAAACAGCAAACAGGTTAATCCACCAATTTTGAACATATGCTATCAAACACCACCCTGCACACCTTTATTCCTGAGGCAATGAGATCTGGGTACAGGACTTCCAGTTTGCCATGTCTGGATCAGCTGTAAAACCTTTCTACAAAGCAAGAGCTCATTTTTTTTTTCCTTTACCTAAAACAATTTTTCTTGTAGCCTCACACCCTAAAGCTGTGCAAACAGCCCTCAACTTTGATTTCACTGGAACAAAAGTTGGCCTGTGAATATCATCAGCTTACCAAAATACCAAAAACAAGAGTTCCAATTCTGGAGTAAAAAACGGAGGACACCCCACCCCGCCTCCCTCCTGGCATCAAAGAGAACAAGGAGCTGGCCAGCAGAGTAGAGGGGAAGGTGGCCAACACAGGGCAGCCAAGTCCCTGAGGGCCACAAATAGGAAGCTCTGCCCTGAGATTGGGATACCCACAGGAATTTGGTCTCAGTGTGCTAAAAAAGCTGCCCACCCCCTGCCCCTACACCCAGTGACTGCCAGCTACAGCTGTTTTGGAGGGCTGGGGATGCCCTTGCTCCCCCAAACACCAGCCTGTTGGTGGGGCATCAGTATCCATGTGCAGGATCTCAAAGACAAGTGGGGAAAAACATTGATGCTGGATGTGTTGTGGTGACCTCCCTGACAGGTTTGCCATGGTAAGTGTGACTGTGCTGCAGTGTTTCTTGGCTGCAACGTTATGAGCTCCAAAATACACGCTGAAGCACATTGCTGTGAAATCATAGTGATTTGGATTGGAAGGGACTTTAAAGATCATCTAGTTCCAACTCCCCTGCATGAGCCTTCAGGTTGCTCAGGGCCCCATCCAACCTGGCCTTGAACACTTTCAGTGATGGGGCATCAACAGCTTCCCTGGGCAACCCATTCCAGTGCCTCACCACCCTCACACTAAACAATTTCCTCCTAATGTCTAACCTACATCTTCCCCTCTTCCAGTTTTGATTCATTACCCCTTGCCCTCTCACTACAAGCCCATGTCAAAAAGTCCCTCCCCAGCTTTACTGCAGGCCCTCTTCAGATGCTGGAAGGCTGCTATGATGTGCCCCCAGAAGCCTTCTCCTCTTCAGGCTGAACAACCCCAGCTCTCTCAGCCTGTCTTTTTAAGAGGTGCTCCAGCCCTCTGATCATCTTGATGGCCATCCTCTAGACTGGGGGCTCCAGAACTGGACACAGTACTCCAGGTGGGGTCTCACGAGAGCCAAGTAGAGGGGAAGAATCATATTCCTTGACCTTTTGGCCACTGTTCTTTTGATGCAGCTCAGGATACTAGGCTGTTTGTTTTGTCCTGCAGCTGAATGTACAGGGGGTCCTCTTCTCCTCTTCCTACCACCCCCTTCCCCACCTAATTCTGATTTGTTCACAGAGGCCTAGAGATTACTTTGTTCCAGTGTGAGCTCCAGTGCCCCTGTCAGCATTCAGAATAGGGTCTTTTAATTAAAACCTTGCTAAAAAGCCTACTGAAATAAGGGATAAGACAGAACCAATCTTGAGATTATTTAGGCTTTGCCACAATTGCCTGCTGCTGCTGCTGCACATTCCCAACTACATCTTCCTCCTCATTTAGCCAATATAAAAATAAAGGACACAATATTTCCATCAAAACAAAGCGAGTGGAGACTGTAGATAGCCCTGCACACTCTCTTTGAATGTTTATCTATATTATTCAGGGTGGAATTTAAATGCTACTATTATGTTATCTTCATCTGACTTTCTTCATAATGCTATTATGCAGCAGCCTGGCTAGCATGAAGATTAACAGTGTATTAAAGAACTGACCCAGTCCCAAGGGCACCAACTAAGTAGCTTAAAAATTTGTTAATAAGGTTTAGAAAACAACTTCCTCCCTCTCCCCACTGTTTCTCAAGATACCCTAGGATGTCCCAAGCCCTTTGAATTAGCCATCCTCAACTTGCTTCCGGGCTCAGGAACATCCATTTCTCCAGACTCTATATGGCCTGTTTGTGGATCCTGTTTAAATAACCAATCCACTCCAACCAGAAGAAACTCCAGTTACTATAATCTGTTCCACAGGCACATCCCCACAAGCCCATGCTTTTATTCCTTGTTATGTCCGTCAGCTTGGACTGTATCAGCATGGAAGACTAATTACAGCAGCATATCATGCCTCTGTTCTTCCCTTACCCTTGGAGACCTGCTAGAACCTGGATACAAATCATCACCTAGAGCTCGATTTTGCCACCATCGTGAACAGCAAAACTTGAAAAAAATATTTTGAAATAAGGAAAACTCGGGTCAGCCTTTTTTCCTCATGTGGTGTTGGATGTGTTGGAGTTAAGGTTGAACTGTCAGCACCACAGAGAGTAACGACACCTCACTTAGTCCCAGATTCAGACAATTTTGCCAACCTCAGGGCAGAGCTCCTGCTCAGTTGGGCTTCTCAGGGTGATGCTGTGTGAGTGACCCCAAGCTGCAGCACAGCACCTGATCACAAGGACTGCTCCACAGTCACACACACCAGGGGCAGACACTGCCATTTGCCACTGCTAACTGCTATACTCTGGATCTCTGCACCCCAACTGTAGCCAGTAGGCTTCTTATAGTGTGGTGAGAGGGAAAAGCCTGATCCTGCTAACAGCCGCAAAGGCCAAGGGTTGTTTTCAACACTCCAGGTAAGAGCCATTCATCAGCCAAAGGTCAGCCACTGCCTGACAGCACAGCAGCCTCCAGCAGCATTGCTGCACCTGCAGGGCCATGCACACCGAGCACTGCAGCCAAGAGGGTGACACAGCTCCTGGAGCCAAAGTCTACACTTTGTATTTGACAGAAATCTCTCCTGCAGCCACAGTTTAAGTGTCACATTTCAGCAGGACCAGGCTCTTCTCTGAACTGATCCAGCTAAAAAACCCTGACTGCCACCTCAGCAGTATCCCCAGCCTCACTGGCAACTCTCGCACCACAAAATGCTCTGCCCAGGTTTGTGCTGCCCTCAGCAGTCAGAGCCCTGCTCTGGCAGAAGCAGCAGCCTGCTGGGCTGCGCTCAGCAGCAGCACGGTCACCAGGCAACATTATTTCACACCAAATCTCAAACTCCTCTTCCCTCCCCTCCCTTCACTGCTGTCACAGGTTTCCTGATCCAAAAGTATTCTTTTCATACAGGTCCTGCCCTAATGTCCCACCTTGCTTGATACTTTGCTGCTGAGTGCTTTGCTGCAGCAGCTGTTAACTGCCTGTGGAATCTGTCTAGGGACTAACTCAGCAAGGAGGAGAAACTCTCCTTCCCTGCCCCTCTGTCAGCCAGGTAGCCTGGCTGTTTCTCTGAGGCAGCTGACAAACCCTAAGCTTGCCCAAGTCCTTCCACCCTGTCAGAACAGGTGACCTGACAGCTACCACTAAGAGCCTGGGCACCTTCCCAGGCATTGCTCTGCTTGCATCACAGAAGCAACACAAGAAGGGATTCACTAAGATCTATGCAGACTCTTTCCCAAGGTCTTACTGTCAGTCCAAGCTACACCCATGCAGTGCCATGGAAACACTTCAAATGAAGGAGTTTTTAAATTTTAGAAATTTTTAACTCCTATAAAGAAGAAAAGGCAGAGCAGCACCTCTAGAAACACCACCAAACCCAACAGGAGACAGGGATGCCAGACTATTTTGTGGGCCATCCTAACAGGTACACTAACAGGGGCCATCCTCTGATCACTGTAACTCCCTACCAAGGGCAACCAGAAGCCAAAAGAAAAAAAAAAGATCTTGCCAGTTATCAAATGTAAGGCAATCACAGGAAGAACTGCCCTCAAAACCTCATGGCTTTAGCCAAAGACTGTCCTTCCAGAAAACCCCTGTTCCTGTCTTTCCATGTCACTGAATTGCTGAAGAAAGGGACTGAGCAGGATGAACCTTTCTGCCTTTTACTGACTGTCCATTCTTCTTCCATCCACTCACACCCTTCCAGTTCCCTCCCTATTGATCAGGGGTGTCTGACCTGCACACTATAAGTTTTCATTATTTTACATTCAAAATCCCTTGTAACTGTGCTACTGGAAAACAAAACCTGCTTTTTAAGTTGAAAGCTTTCAAGTTATTTAGGAAAGTAATTAATTACACTCAACACATCTGGTGACAATAAAAATGAATCTACAAGATACAAGAAAAGTCTGTCAGATATTCAGGAAATAATAATAAAAAAATAGAGATGGCCCTTGTGCTTTTACACATGAAGCTAGTGCAAGGAAGAGAGAACACTCATGAAAGCACAGAAATGAAAGTATTGTGCAAGAGGAGCTCACAGTGGCACTGCCAAAACGTTTTTACTATAGGCTTCTCTTTTTCAAAAAGACAAGACACAGGAGGGACAGAAAACACAGTACAGGTGTCTCAGAGTGCAAACACACAGAAAAACCTCAAAGGACACAGAACCTACACCATCTTCAGCAAAGGCAAAACTACAAACCTGGCTGAACAAGTGGCAGCAGTTCCAAGAGTAACAACTCACACACTCTCCCCTTCAAGCAGCTATCAATCACCCTTCAGCTAGCAGGGCAGGAAGCTCCATAAATCCCCCTCTTCCAGGCAGCTCCATTTCGAGCCAACTCTTCACTCGAAGCACTTCCAGCTGTTTCCACGGCACCGACGCCCACCCCCCCTCACACCCACGGGCACTTACTGGAAAGCCATGGCTCCTGCTTCCAGGGTACACCTGGTGGGAGACTGCTCGTTCAGCTTGCGGAACAGCTGCTTGGCTTGGCTCTGGTACTGCTGGAGGTCGCGGCCTGACTGAGAAGGGAGGACAGGCTGTTGGGGCAGCTGCTGCCGGGGAACCCCC